GACATTTATTATGCTGCACTGGTTAATTTGCAGTAACATGTATTTTTGGCTTATCTCCCTTGTCCAACCAACATGTCAATACCCAGCAATTTTATAAAAAGTGCATAGGCTCATTCGAAATGCAATGGAATATTTTTATGCCCTTGAATGTAATGAATCTGTTTATTTTTTTCCTCTTTCTCATCCTGCTGAGGTAGCACGGGCTGCCTGAGTGCACCCTAGCCTTTCTGTGGCACTACTCTCTTTTCTGTTGCTCCTCTTTTGTCACTTTTCTCCTGTACATCTGGAAGGCAAATGAACTCAAAATAACACTCAGAACTCTGTGCAAACCAACAAAACAGGGAGCCTGAAAACATTTTTGACATTCTCAGATTCTCTGCATTGTGAAAGGACTTAAAGCATTTGTCAAACAGAAGAAGAGACAGACAGTCCACACTCCTGTCCCCGTTTTCCAAAAGGTGATGAGCAAGATAGTGTCTTGGTTTAAGACAGGTTAAGGAAAACACTTGGGAATGAGCAAAGGCATGGGAACAAGGAAAAGGAAAAGGAAACTTTAAATAAAGGCACACATGCTTTCTCCATATGCCCTGCTCACTGCTGGGGCCTGGATCACCCTCACTGCCAGAGGTTGTGGGCCCCTGTTCCACAGGTGCCTTGTTCTGCAGCTGTTACTGAGGTCAGTTTTCCCAATTAAAAAAAAAAATCAATTAACATCTTCTTGCAAGCAAATATTTTCCTGTCAACCAAGCAGACAGATACAGATGCTAATGTCATCCATTCTGAGGAAATCACTCACACATGCCACTATTTTCCTAGGATAGGAGGGAGCCAGGGGTCAGGTGCTCTTGTCTGAAGCACAGTGAAGACAAATAAGGCACACAGGCTGTTGCTGCAGTCCTCTTACAAAAGAAATTCAACATCTTTCTTAAATTAGTATGATTTGAAGTACTCATCTGCTTTCAAAGCCCGACTGTCAAACTTCCCTTTCCCTAACAGTGGCTCATTCTGTGCAAATGAAACTGGCAAATGAAAGTTGTTATTCAGTTAATGTAACTGAAAATGTTGTAAAATTTATTGAGTAAATTATATGAGAAGTTGACCACACATTCTAGCTTGGGTGTAATCCTTTAATGTCGAGTGAAGACACAATATTGAAGTATTAGATTTTTCTTAATACCAGCAAAGATGTGTCATTCAGTGTTGACTGGGAAGCCAGAACATTCAGAGAAGGTTTTCACTGAATGCTTCACAAGTGGCTTTGCTGTAATTAACCTTAGCATGCCATTTCCTTAGCAAGTCCAGGGAGTCTGCAAAAGGTTTTCTCCTTGCAAAGGCAGAGCATTCACAATCTGCTCAGTGATCTCTGGAGCGAGGAATCAGACAGAGCCACCAGGAAGGTGCAGAGCCACAAGGAAGTTTGTGAATGAAACTCTGCTGCTGAGGAGGAGGTGTCCAGCAGGTCCCCAGAGCCACCTGGAGCTGGGGTAGCACTGGCACAGCGTGGTGTCACCACTGCAGAGAGAGGCTGTGGAAATCTGCTTTGCCCCAAAGTGTCTAATCTCCTTTTTATTTGCCCTCAAGAGGGAGGTCCCCTGGAAGAGTGGCTCATTCTGCAGGCCTCCACACCACTGCTATGGCCATGACTGTTAATCCCCTTGTCCAGTGTGAAAAAACTGTAGTATCAGTCTAAGAAAATAACAAAGACAAGGGAAAGGGAAAGGGAAAGACAAAAAGGTAACATTTTTTCACTGCCCATCTTAAATGTCACAAATGCAAGAAAAAAGCACTTAAAGGTGCTTTCCCCCTCCAGCAGGAAAAGCAGTGGAAGAAGATGCAGTATTTTATTACAGGGTTTTGCAGTACCGAAAACCTTGGTTTCTGTTCCAAAATCCCATTAACTCTTTCTGCACTAGCTCTGTGCAATCAGTCATATGAATAAGGCTGCACAGGCCCCAGCATGAGCCTTGGGAGTGACAAGGTCCGAAAGTGGCTGGAAATGATCCAGCTAAAGGTACCTCTGCAAATCTGGGAGCAGTTCTGCACCACAGGCACCACTGACAAAGCTGAGCTTTCTCCAGGCAGTTACACAGGCTGCAGAGACAGCAGTGCTCTCCTGAAATCCATCAGTTCCCTCTACCCAGTGAGCCTTCCTGATCTGCTCTTCCCAGTGCAGCCTCCTGGCACCCAAACACCACTTTTCAGTGACAGTCAGAGCTCTGTGGCCACTCAGAGCACTCTCAGAGCAGATTCACAGAGGCAAAATGAAACAACATGCTTGATGTTTCTTGCAGAGGTGCACTCACATGGAGGCACTGTTCCATTAAAGACTCTTCTTAGCCAACCAGCCCTGAGGAACTGCCCAATGGCCTTCCTGGGAGATGCTTTTTTCCTTACAGGAAAATGAAAAAAAATCTAAGAATGAAAAAGTCATTTTTTTCCACAAGATGGAACGCAGCATAAAGGATAAAGCCACGATCTGGAAAGGTAAAAGAACACTCAAATAGCATGTGCAGCTCAGCCAGACATGTCTGGCAAACGGTCTCACAGCTGCCTCCAGCTCTGAAATGAGCTGTCAGGTTCTGAGCTCAGGAGAGCCTTGGAGAGCCTTTGGAGAAACTGTTCTGTTTCTTCTGTTCCAGCCACAGAGAGGACAAAGGGAGTCACTCAGAGCTCACTAGCTGAATTCAAAAGCCAAAATTTGGTCAGGCTGAAGAAAAAGACACCGGTACTGTCTTTTTGATTCACCAACCCCAGTTATCTGTGGCTAATACGCTCCCTGATAGAAAGAACAAGTGATCCCATTGGAATCTGTCATAGAGATCAATTACACCTGTTTTTTATTCTTTTTATGGAGGCAATGTCAGCTTGCACAGCAGTCTGCTTACAGCAAAACAAAACATGTGAAAGAAATCCTCACTGACAGCAGACCCACCTGAGATGGACTTGTCCAGGCCAAAGAACTTGTATGTCATCCACCTCTATTCAGTGAGTGTGATTATGCCTAATTGGAAAATTAGCTGCACGTTAACATCCAGGCACTATTAATGCCAATTTACATTATCTCCATGCTGGCCTTGGTTCAGCTCATTTTCCAAGAGCTGGCTGTAAACACTCACTTCCAAAAAACCGCACTTTCTTTGACTGCAGTTCCCTCTCTTTTTACTGCCATGTTTTCCTGTCTTCTCTTGATTTTTCATTTCAGACTCACCAGTATCACCTCCTGCCTGTGTCATCTCCCATCAGCAATGCTGGACTGGCTGCTGTGGCTGATCTGCTTTCTGGCAGCTCCATCCTCACCCACACATGTGCCTCTGCTGCCTGCTGGCCTCAGCCTGTGCTTGGCTGTCTCAGGGCTGTCCCCAGCCTGTGCTCCAGGGACTGCTTTTCACTGCAGCTCTTCCTGTCTCCAGTGCTGCTTCCATGGAATTCACACCCCAGTTCTCTGACAAAGCCCCGTCATAACCCCTGCACATCTGTCAGTGTCCTTACACACCTCTTCTTTACTCTGACTGAGTTTGCTTCTTTACCATGGTCTTCATCCTCTACTTGTGTACACACGCTCCTTTAACTCACCACACCTTTCCCCCCCACAGCTGTCTCCATTTTTCCATTCCAGCAGCAGCTTCTCCCTTTCTTTGCCGAATTGCCCTGGATGTGAGTTACGTGTTTGTTAAATTCTTATTGTCTAAAGGAAACATTCTGGTTGCTAAGCAATGATTTTTCTCTTTATTAAAATCTGAAAACAATTCAGATTTTCAAATTTAGTCAGGGATCATTTGTGAGCAAGACAAAATAAGTGCTTTTCCTTCTGCTAACAAACAGCAACAGAGTGCCCAGCTTTACTGATGTTTTTGTTCCTTACAAAATAGAATCTAATGCAGGTGCTGTCGGTTTTAGCACCACTGTAATGCTACAAACAAGAGCAAGTTTATCTGATAGAGGAATTGCAATGTCACCTGGTCTTGGCCTCTCTGGATGTGCTCCCTACAATTGTTTTTACTGTAGTATCTGTAGATGTGTAAATGCAATGCCAAGCTCTGCTGGAACTGAGCCTCAAACTTACTTTGGTATAAAAATTGAATAATTGCATAACTTGGCCTTTCTAGTTGGGAATCGGGGCCAAGCAGTGTAGGTTTCTCGTCTGAGATGAGATTCTCTTTATGTCAGACCCATGAAAACCCCAGGCTAACAGAGCCTCACCATTACAATGAAATGAGACTAGGAAAAGTGATTATGACGGGATCCCTGTATAAATACCTCTAAACCTTCCCTTTGCTCAGAAATAACCAATTCTTCCCTCCCCTTCCCCTGTGCTTGTTTCTATAACTGTTCCTGAGACACTGCTCAAGGGTTTGAAGAAATCTTGTCATATACTGACTCTTGTCACATGCCAAGAGTCTGGATCAGAGAATTCAAAGGGAACAGAAATTTGTGTCTCTCCAGGCAGAAAACGTCCCACAGACAGAGAAAAGAGCAACTCTGAAGGGAGAATGCCCAAGGGTCAGAATTCAGGAGTCGTAGCTGAAGGCCCTAAGGCTGCAGTAATTTGCTCATCCTGGAAGTTACACAGTGGCTGACTCCACCAGAAACCAGGTGTCGCTTTATTCTATTCTCTCAGGGCTAAATGCAACAGGGATGCAGAACAGCTGGGAAAAGTGTCAGCAGATTCCAGTGTCTGTGAAGAATCCCATCTTAAAGGGTCTTTGATGTGAGCACTTTGTGTGCTTTGAGGTTTCTCTCCCACCACTCAGGAATGCTGAGGTTTTTTTTCTCATAGCACTTCCCAAGGGTTTTATTTACCTTCTTTTAATTTTAATTTTGTTTCTCTTAAGGGCAGTGAACTTGAACAAATACTTTCTTACTCATGAGACGGTCCTTTGTGTCCTTTTGCAGCCCCTTCCTATGTCACTTGATGTCACATGTGTAAACCACCTCTGTCTCTCACATCTCTGCTCCATAAAATATCCTCAGAAGCAGAAGGAACTATGACCAGAAGAAAGCATTTCTATGGAAAGTATATTGCAATTTCCTGCACTGGACAAAGAGGGGCTGCAGGTGGATGTCAGCTCCATCATGGACCTCCCAGGCAGCTGGGGACTGCCTGCCTCCTCATGCTCTTCCTCACAGTCTGTGCCTCACAGGGAACGAGCTCAGGCCCCTGGAACAGAAATTCAGCTCTTCTTTGACTTTGATGCTTGTTCCTCTCACATATTCTCTCTCCCAGTTGCTGCTCAGTGATTTTTGTCCTTTCCTAAACCCGGGATCCACCAAAAAAAATAACTTGCCATGTAAACCAAAGTCGTTATGTTATTAAAAAGATTTTGAAAACAAGCTTAGAATTTGGCTACAGTATGAGTTCAGAAGCCCTATTTTCATAATCCTCGTACTTGGTGTAATTATGGAGTATGAAAGAAAAGGGAATGCCAAGATGCAATATTTTTTCTGGACTTTTACAACCCTGGTGGACGTTGAAGACACTTGTAGCTTCAGAGACTTGTGTATGAGGTTTCAGACTCAACAGGACAGTCAGTAAGAGAACAATAATAAACCATTTCTTCTGAAACTGCTCTTCTAAAATCATATCCATAAAAGTGTCTCGTTCACTTTCATTTCTGGTGTCCCTCTTTCTCTTCCCAACCTGTGTCACCTGTCAGTAAAAAGAAGAAGAACTGTGCAATGTGAATAATTTTAAAACTCTCAGGAAGAGCTCAAGTTTCAGTCACTCTGCCAATCCATAGATACACCTATCATCTCTTAGGGAGCAGCAGAATAAAGGTTAATTAGCTGCACACTGGCACAATTAGTATGTAATATTGGATTTTTAGCACAAAGAAAGTAATTTTCTTTTAAGTGCATCACAGTGCTCATTTATGAACAACTTACTTTAGAATGTAAGCTATCTGGCATGTAAGAGAAATATGAGTTAGGATACCAATTCCAGATAATTCATCCTGAGAGCAACAGATTCAAGAGAAGACATTCAGAGTGGGAAATACAAATCTCTGGGTTTTGGCCAGTGTATTGCATTCCAAAGAAAGCAGAGCCACAACAAACACTTTTATCCCTCTATGACAATTTTCTTCATCTTGTTTGTCAGGATACAACTTTCCATATACACTGCCTGTTTAGCAACACAGAATCACAGAATGGTTTGGGTTGGAAAGGACCTCAAAGACCAGTCCCAACCCTTGCCATGGGCAGGGACACATCCCACTATCCCAGGGTGCTCCATGCCAAATCCAGCCTGGCCTTGGACACTTCCAGGGATCCAGGAACAGCCACAGCTTCTCTGGGCAACCTGTGCCAGGGCCTCCCCACTCTCATCATAAAAATTTTCTTCCCTAGGTCCAATCTAAATCTACCTGCTCTTGGTTTAGAACGTTTGGCTCTTGTTTCATCATTAGAGACTCCAGTAAATGGAGTAGTAACCTCAGTCTGTTGGGTTGGGGTTTTATTCTTCCTTTGCTGCTTTCTTTGCCTTTACTTGAAAGACTTTCCAGATGAGTTTTCACACAGTATTTTTAGTGGAATCTCATTGCAGCTCCACTCTCGCCATTTCAGAGGGGTCAGCAGTGCTGTGTCATAGCCTTTCTAGTCCATGAACTTCATTAATAATGACTATTTCCATTTCTTTTCACACATTTTTATTTTGGTTCATAAAGACTGTCTTTCCTGTCATATTTTTTTGCTCCCCTCACCCAAATCAATTAACATCAAATTCACTTTGTAAAGTGATCGCACATTTGAAATTTGTGTTCACATTCACTACACTGAAGGTCCATCATTCTTCCAGCTTTCCCTTGAATTGTTGTGATGTTGATTTCAGAGACGAAAAAGGTTGCATGCAAATTAAAAAAAAAAGGCAAGCAAAACCTATTCATAGCTAAAGAATATTGTAATAATTATTAAAGATATTCAGAAGCTGAGAGCAAGAACCCAAATCTGATTCTCAGTGCAGTATCTGTCACCAACTACTAACTATAACCCCCAAGAATCACTGGAGTGAGTAAATGGGAGCTAAATATTGATGGACCAGAAGTAACTCTGTTACTATAAATTGCTAAAAAGCTGCTGGCACTTCATTAAAATTAAAAAAAAAAAAAGGAGAAAAAAAACCCAAACAAAAACCCCAAAACTCACTTAGTTTTAAGAAAAATGTTGCTTATTCTGAAGCATTTTAGTTTTTTCTCAATGCCTTCTACCCAGCCAGTGTCCACCACATGCCCACTATGCAATATCTAATTAACTGCAGCAATCAAAGATAAGAGGGGAAAAGTTTGTCATAAAACTCAGCCTTCTGAAAGAATGTTTTTTGTTAAAGACTCCAGTAGCTCTTTCTGATTAAATCTCTCTCCTCCATTAATTCCCAGTTCTCATAAATACTATGCAAATTCATCCTTATTGCAGGGCCTTGTGCTGACTGTCAGTTCTTGTCATGGTGAATGTGTTTCTTTATCTTGTACTTGATTGAGTCAATTCTGAATTCTGCCTATTCATTTGTTCTACTTCTTCTCCATTTTCAGATTTCTCAGTCATAACTACAGTGTCACAACACAATGCTCCTGACAACTGACTCCTTTTTACCAAATTTCACGTGTTTTCAAAGATCAGTTGTGCAACTTTCACTTCACCTTTACTGCCTCACATTCAAATGACAGATGAACTTTTATCAGCCTTGCAAAATGTAAATTCAGCTCTTCAAGAAGCAATCAATTACAAACCAATCTGTATTTCCAACCTTCTTTTTGTAGCCTCTTCATCATATATTCACATTTCAGATTTGGAGAACAGTCAATGTATTTTGAGAGTACAGCTTCAGAGCCCGGCTTCTCCCTGTTTTAATGTAAAATAAGTACAGATAATAAATACAGCAAACACTTGAAGTGGTTTTCTACAGTCATCTGCCAGAGACAGATGGCAATGGTATTTGAAATTTCTTTCAATAACCTCTCTGCTTCTGTGGTTTCAGCTCAGGCACACCTGGTGTTGTTTAGCCTGTTCAGGGCATTAGTACTTTTGTATTTTACCTTTCTACCATCAAATGCTCAGGAATCACCACAGGGCACCCACTGATGCACATCCCTTTTACTTATTTTTTAGGTCTAACCCAGCTGCCTTTTTCAGCTCTGTCTTGTTCCTTCTTTACTTCCTGAGAGACTCCTAAATAAAATCCTCAACAAAGTGATTACAGCCCTTTGTTCAATCAAAAGCTTAGCAGGCCTTGAGGGCTGAGGGCCCGAGCTGGAGAGTCATGAGCCATCATAAACTGAAATAAGGAGTCATCAGCATGTCAGCAGAAAATGCCTTCAGTATCCAAAGCAACTGCCAAAGGGCTGAGCTTTCACTGAGCTCCTTAGGATCTATTGTGGAAACAGCCTGAAAGATTGTTGAGCACATTCAGGATTCCTAGAAAAAGCAGTTAAAAGCTGTAGAGACTGGGAGCAATAGAGTCCTTTTGAGAGGGGACACCAGGTCAAACACTGGGAAATAATGACCATGAGCAAAAGATGTGCAGGTGGAGACCAGGGGAGGCAGTGCCACAGCCTGGCTCCATTCACAGGGGCCTCTGACAAACCCTTCTACACTCATTTCCACATTTTACGTACGGTGCTTTGGATGTATTTCTTCCACTTCCTTTCTCCTATTTTCTTTTGAAGCAGAGAATTAGAAAAAAGGTAACAAGTATAAAACTTACCTTTTCTGATAAACCGAACACCACAACAGAGCGAATCTCTTGCTCTGCTTCAGTCTTCTCCCTTTTTTAGCCTGCAGGAATTGTTGGCAGGAAAATCAGTGCTAGACACCTATTTTTAAGCAAATGCCTGCTTGGCTTTATATTTGAAAAACAGTATAAAAGGAAAGATTAGTACAAAATGTGTTCTCAAAAGTATGGATAATTATGTAGATAAATAAATAGAGAGATACATAAAAGCTGTTGTTCCCTCCCTATGTTTCAAAAATGTTATATGCAAATTTAATACAATTCTATATTAGCCCCTGTCCAGTAGAAAATGAAATAGAAGAAATACTCATATTAGCTGCATATATAATGAAGACAGAGATCTAGTGTCTAGTTCAAAAAGGATGAAGTATGAAAATCATACATTAACATCTCAGTTACACATTATCCTGAAGCAAAATAAGCATTTGGAGAAATGAGCAGCACTTCAGGAAAAAGGAAGAAATTCAGGAAAGCAGTGATTAGACTGGGAGACACAAATATTTGAGCTAATATGCAGAGGCACTACAGGAGAATTTTACAGATGGTAGAGATGCATTACTGAAAGACTTAAATTCACTCGGTTTTCCCAAATCATAGGTGTTTGTCCATACCCTCCCCAAAATTTGCCAAAATGAAAGCAGCCAGAGTTCAACTGAACTCTGTGTGGGAAGAACCTGTCGCTAAGGCCCAAACCAACATGCAACTCAAAATAATTTCTGACTTAATTTTGTTTATTCAGTCAGCTACTTCTCTAACAGGTTTTCTTTAGCTGATGTAAGATTCCATTACCAAATTATTTTTGTCTTCCTCAGACTGTGTTTCTTGGTCATTAGTAATGTTTTTACTCTACTAGGAAAGGTAATTTAAGAAACAAAAGGAAAATACTTACATTAACTTACAATTTAAATTAAAATTGTACATTTTGTGTGCAAGTCTCAAATTGGACAGGACCAAATGCAGTTGGTAGTCCACAGGACCAGAATGTCCACAAATGAGAACTAATTCCCAGAGTTCTTCTGCCATGGCTGCCCATGCACACAAACAAACATAAACACAGAAAGACACAGCCACAGCACATCACATAAGGAAAATTCTCCACCACTTCACCTCTGTCCTTCACGAGAGCATTCTGAGGCACCACAGGTTCAGTCTGGTGGAGAGAGCTAGTGCCAAAGGCAGCTAAGAGGGCTTACTGAAGTCATGGCAAATGAATTCCCTGCTTAGGGCTCTGGAATTGATTCTGACTTCCCAGACAGCAGAGAAAGATTCATCAGTTGAGAGAGCAGAGCTGGTAGCAGTAAAGCAAATAGGATGTGACAGGGAAGGTGTATTGAGGAAATGAATTAGCAATTTCAGAATATAAAATGGATTGTTGGAATCAAAAAGGGCTCAGATGCACTCTGGATTTCATGGCTCAGTAGAAATGTGCAAGGAATGGAAACAAACTCCTTCGCCAAAGTGAGTGAGAGAGGAATGGTTTCTTTTTATGCATACACCGCACGTGCACAGGGATATTGTCCAAGCTGAAAATAACTGCAAATTATTGTGTGGATTAGGTGTTGATAGTCCAGAGACAGGGAAACCTTTTTCAGGAATCAGAGAATTAGAAAATCAGAGAACCATTAAGTCTGGAAAAGACCTCCAAGATCATTGAGTCCAAGCTTTGACTGATCTCTACCTTGCCAACTAAACCAAAGCATTAATTGCCACATCCTGCTGTTTCTTAAACACTTCCAGGGATGGTGATTCCACCACTACCCTGGCCAGCCCATTCCAATGCTTGGCAACCCTTTCAAGGATGAAATTCTTCCTGACATCCAACCTGAACCTCTGCAGGCACAGCTTGAGGCTGTGTGCTCTTGCCCTGTCACTGCCTGGGAGAAAAGGCTGAGCCCCACCTGGCTACAACCTCCTTTCAGAGCTGATCTTGCCACTGTCATGGTCACTGGCATTACAATAACCACAACAGAAGGAGAAAAAATTTCATCTGCCTTTTGAAGACTGTAAAGGATGGCAAAATCTCTAGTCCTGCTGACAAAATATTGGCCATTGCCTTTCAAGCCTTTTCATATCTGTTCCTTAACAAAAATGAGCTTGCTGCTGTTGGCAGTCAGCATGCTGGAAGGGGTTAACACAAATAGATTGAGACACCAAAAGGCTCTTGCCCCACCAGACCAGCAGGAAATATGTCATCTGCCCTCCGGGCTCTCATATACTCAGTGAATATTATTTTGTCAGAAGTTGCTGGAAGACCTAATTTAAACCACCACTTGGGGTTTTTTTATCAAGGAGGAAGGGACAGCAAATCAAAAATGTTGGGGAGGACATGTCTGTAAGTCTCACCAAACAAAAAGGTCTGACCCTGCTCTGTCAAGGATTGCCAGAATAGTTTTCCTTATTCCCTGGAAGAAGACTGTAACCCAGCATCATGCATTGCAGAAAGTCTGTAGGATGCTTCCTGGGAAAACTGCTGACACCCAGTTCACCTGAAATAAAAAGTTAAAAGGGACATTTTTCCCTAGGACTAGTTTTACTGGCCTGTACAGTCCTTCTGTCATACACATATAAGTCGTACAGACTGTTACAGAATAAAAATCCAGATACATAAAAATGTCCATGGCTGTCCTGGTTGTGATCAGTGAAATGTTGCTTTTTAAAATTGCTGCTAATTAGCGAATAGTTCCTAATTTTCTGCATCACCCATGATTTGACACCTCACACAGGCTCTCCTGGTGTGCCCTTTCTCTTACACGAATGTCCAGGCAGCAGATACTGGTGCAGGGCTTCCAGCTGTGGGTGTTCCTCCTGGTACAAACAGAAGGAAGCCACTTAAATAATCTGCCCATCTGCCAACACATTAAGTAGTGAGAGAGCTGCAGAAGCTGCAGTCCACAGGGGAAAAATCAATGGAGTGTGCATTCAAAGCATGGAATCACACAACATTTGCACAGAACATTCTGTTTTCAAACAGAAATGTTTTCTGTCACACAGAAATATTTGCTATCAGGTGATAAAATAATGTGCAGAATTGTGGCTGTTTTCATGAAACAAACTGGACTTGTGCATGCAGACTTTGAGCAAGGCACTAAGGCAAGGACTACCAATCCCACTGAACTGGTAGCTTTTGACGCACTTGATATTTCTCCTTGCAGGATATGATAATACAGAATAACAGAATCATTTACATTGAGAAAGACCCTAAAGGGCAAGGCTCACCAGCAGCCCTTGGCTTTGCAGGACTTCCTGTGAAGCATCCCCTCGGAGCTCTTTGTTCTGGCCTCTGTGAGGACTGGATGGCTGGGATGCGGATGCCAGCAGGGAGGACAAGATCTGTCAACTGAAAGGGGAAGCGTGGGCAGCAGCTTCCAGCTCTGCAGCAGGCACTGCTGGAAGCCTGGCACTCTCCTGGAAGAGGATGGTCTCCTGAAGAGCTGTGTAAAAATAGCTGGCTGGCAGAGCGATTTTGGGGCAATGCACGGGAAGCCTTCCCTTGCATGGATGTGGGGGAAATCGGGAGCTGGGAAGCAATGCCCTGCATCCTTCCCATGGGAATGCAGGAGCCCTGACCGCTGGCTGAGAGCACCTGCAAAGCAGCAACTGGCTGCCCTCTGCCTGCTGCCAGCTCTGGGGTGTCTGTGGGCAACATGAGTCTGCTGATGGACACTGCCTTCCTGTTCCCTGAGGGTGGCCAACAATCTGCCAGCAGTGAACCTGCTCCTCCCAAGGCAGCTGCTCTCACTGCTGAGACACATCAGCCAGCATAAGGGCCACCAGCAGAATGACCTGCAGCAACCTGGCTGTCTGCCTGGGGCCAAACCTGCTGAGCCCAGCCCAGGAGGAGCAGCTGGAGCTCCAGGCCATGCTGGCTGAGAACAAGAAGGCAATGCTGCTTTCAGCAGCCGGCTGCAGCCTCCCCAGCCCCTGTGAGCCTCGCTGCCCAGAGGCGCCTGTGCCTGGCTGCCCCCTCTCTCCAGCCAAGGCCATGCAGGAGCTGCCCCACAGCCAAAGCCTTCTGTGTAGAGGAGAAGGCTCAGCAGGGATGGCAAGGGCTGCTTGGCACACTGCCAGCAGCTAGGCCCAGAGCAAGGCTTTTCTGTGTGCAGGTGAAGCTGCTGGTGGCCTTTTTGATTGAGAACATGGATGAAATGTTTGCTGAGGAGGTGGCTGGCCTGGAGGAGACCCCAGCGCCCACAGACACATCCACAGGTATGATTCAGGTACAGAGGCTTGTCCCAGCCTGGGACTCAGGATCCCAGAAATCTCAGCACTAAGAAGACAAGCAGTGTAGGGCTCCCCTCTGGGTTTTATTTCGGTGTCCTTGTGTTCCAAGAAGTCGCTTTGCTGCACATGATTCTGCTTTCTACAGCTGGGACAGAAAGAGCAAAGTGGCCCTGAGGGAAGAGCAGAGGAGGAGCCCCAGGCAAGAAGTGATCGTGATGCATCCCCCTCTCTGCCAGATGTCTAGCAAGAAGATGGCAGAGAGGCCACAGTGCTGGAGGCCCAAAGAGCGGAGGTGTGGCAGCTGCACAAAGCCTGGCACAATTCAGGCCAGAGAGGTGGGCAGTTTTACATGCGGCCAAGAAACTGCTGTGCCTGCTCCCGACAGCGCAGCCCTGCAGCCTTCCTTCCTGCCTGCCTTTTCTCTCTTTCCCTCTCTCCCCCCGGCTCTCTCTCCCTGCCTTCCTCCCCCCACACTGACAAATGCTAGTGAGAACTCCACAGGTTGCTTGCCCAATGCCTTAGGCATATGTTTCATGAATTTACAAAATAGTTGCAAATTAAAGCAGCAGTGGGGGAGCTGCCACCTTGAGAGGCCTTCTGCTCAGACCCCAGCTCATGCCAGCTCCCTCCAGTCCCTTTGGGGGCAGCTGTACTGTGTGAGAGGGGCCGATGAAAAGCAGCGTCCTCTCTGCAGAGCTAAGGGGGCGATTTGGCAATCACTCCCTTCCTCCTCCAGGCTGCCTCTTGCCACCTCTCACCTCCAGAATTTCTGCTTTAGGCACCTCCAGCTTTGCCTCCAAACACCCACCAGAGCTCCACAGAGTCACTGGCAA